ACACACACCAACACACACCAACACACACCACCACACACCAACACACACCAACACACACCAACACACACCAACACACACCAACACACACCAACACACACCAACACACACCAACACACACCAACACACACCAACACACACCAACACACACCAACACACACCAACACACACAAACACACACCAACACACACCAACACACACCAACACACACCAACACACACCAACACACACCAACACACACCAACACACACCAACACACACAAACACACACACACACACACACACACACACACACACACACACACACACACACACACACACACACACACACACACACACACACACACACACACACACACACACACACACACACACACACACACACACACAAACACACACACACACACACACACACACACACACACACACACACACACACACACACACACACAACAACACACACACAACAACACACACACACACACACACACACACACACACACACACACACACACACACACACACACACACACACACACACACACACACACACACACACACGCTTACTGTTCGCGAGCGAATTGTGTTTTATCGCTTGCTTCCAAAAATGCCCTGTGAGAAACGGTGTGCCGTTTACTCTCTGTTTGAAGCCAAAAGTTTTCTTGATGCGTTTTGATTCCCATGCTCCACAATTGCCAGTTGCATGTTTTGCAAATTCCTTGATCAGCAGTTTACAGGGTTGCAGTGGCTGTATGCAGCTTGTGCATTGCGCCTGGGTGTGCAACATGCCATGCTTTGTGTAGCTAAAGGGCGGCTGATACTTGCACTTGATGCATGTTCCTTGTCGTGCAGCACGGGCTCCATCGGGCCGTGAAAATTTGTCGAACGGGGGTTGAGGCTCCAAACAGGTCCTTCTTCAACAGGCCCTATCCTCCAACCTTGGCCTTAGGCCCAGTGCAAGTTGCCTGCGTGAAGCAGGCAGCGGATGGGAGCTCGCCTCCGTGGGCAAGCCGCGCTGCGTTCCCCTGTGCACTTGGGGGCCCGTGGCCCCGTGAGTCCTGCCCGGACTGCCCCCTCCTGTTTTTGTTCCGGCTTCTGCTTGGGCGTGGCTTGCCTGTTGCTTGTCATCAGCCTTTGTTAGCCTCCCATGGGGTCCACCTGCGGTCGTCGTGCTCCGGAACAGCCGCTCGTTGAGCAGGATCCCCCTATACCGGCCTGTCAGCAGCTTTGCCAGCAGTGTGGTCGCAACGGGTGCATACGCTACCGTATCAACCACAACCACCATTGGTGTGCTCACTGCGTGATTGCCTGGTACTTGGCCGTCTACGACCGATAAATGGCGTTGCCTGGCTCCGCTGCGTCTTCGGACTTGCCCGCCCCTGAGGGTTCCGTTCCCCCTGCTGTGGCCCCTGTGTGCGTTGTTAAGCGCTTCAGAAGGAATCCCTCTGGGCAGTCTGCTTCGGTCAAAAGGGGGGGTTGTGCCAACGCCCAGGGAGATGTGCTGATTGAGGGTGAGGCCCCCATCCGAGCTTCAGAAGCTGTAGCCTCTGAGCCTGGTGAGCCTAACTACCAGGCTGACGGTGTCCCGAAAGGGAGTGCCAGCGCCCAGGGAGATGCTCTGGTTGAAGGTGAGTCCCCCATCCAAGCTCCAAAAGCTGTGGGCTCTGAGCCTGGTGAGCCTAGCTACCAGGCTGATAGTGTCCTGAAGGAGATGGGCAATGCTCAGTCTTCACAGTCTCGTGATTCGCTACGTGGGAGTGATCCCGTTGATTTGGTGCCTGAGAAACCTGATGGCCAACCCGTGGCCCCAGTGCCTAAAGTCAGTGCACCGGTTGGCAAGGCGATCGGATCCCATGTCCAAGTGGGCCCCGCCTGCATATCGCAGGCTCGTGCAACGCTACGTGGGAGTGAAGCCGAAGATTTGGTGCCCGTGAAACCTGATGGCGAAATTTTAAGTGATGGCGCGTGCGCGGGGTCCTCTCCTTCAGGCCAGCATAGTGATGCATTGCGTGCAACCCGTGCTGTTAGGGCTTGGTCTTCTGGGGATTCCGGAATCCTTCGCGAGACAGAGCGTCGCGCGCCTGGGCAAGTCGGGGTTCACCTGGGTAAGGGTGATGCTTTTGATCCCCCAGACAGACCTCTTGGACAGCCAGTCAGGTATGATGTGTCGAGCGCACATCAACACACTCTACCCAGCTCGCCCCTTCAAGGTGTGGGAGATGCGGCACTCGACCGCGTGAGTGCCTCCAAGGCTTCGTCAAGGGAGGTGACAACAAAGGCTAGGACCAAGGCCTCTCATAGGGTTGGGTCCGAACAAGCTGTCAGACTTGCGCCGCCTGAATGCGTCTCCGGGCCCAGAGGTCACCCGCAGAGCGATGTGAGCCCTGCATCAAGTATTTCGGATGCTGAAACTGTGGGCGCGCAATATTCCGAGGTGCAGTTGGGCTCCAATGAGAACCAGGTTGCCCGTAGTGGACCAGGCCACGGCCCAAGCGGACCTTGTGCCACGGGGAGGGAGGCCGGAGCCCACAACAAGGCCTCAAGCGCCAGTCAGGCCACCACAGAGCCCACTGGCAATCCCCTTGGCGGCTCTGCCAAGTACGCACAGCTGGTTGTGAGCCCTCAGCTCGAGACCCCCTCAGGTGCCATCAGCGCTTTCTCCCTAGATGTGTCCAGAGCTCGAAAGCTCGATGAGCCGAATTCATCAGCCAAGGCTCCTGCTGTGTCGGAAAGTTCGGGGCGACGTGCGTCCGCCGGTGCGATGATGGATGAGGTCAGACCGTTCCAAAGGCGGATTTTCATGGGGCCCGCAGGTGTCCGTGATGTTCCTGGAAAGGTGTCTTTGCCTGAAAAACCGAGGGTGGTTACCCCGTTGAGTTCACGACCTGTTTTTACTGGTCCTGGCTCCATTCCCCGCCGGACTGAATGTCTCCCTACGCGTGCCGTGGCCTACCCTTCCAGCGACAGGTCAGATGCCCCATTCCTGGAACGTGTGCCTGAAGCATCAACGTCCTTGCCTTCCGGTGATCGGCCAATGCCTCCACGACCTCCTAGCCCTAAGCGTAAAAAGAGGGAGCCCGAAAGTACCAGCCGATCCAGTGGCTCTGCTTCGTCGGACGAGGGCATCACGCAGGATTGTGCAGAAGCCTTTCTGGCCAGGCTTGATGCTCGTCCCACGTGTTCTGCGGGTCATCCCCTGTTCTCCTTTGGGTCTCCTGAGCCTGGATGGTGGTGCAGTGCATGCAAACGCGTGTTTACCACGCGGCGCTTGCTTTGGGGTTGTAGGGTCTGCGACTTCGACATTTGCGGAAATTGCTTGGTCGATAGTCAAGGTGGCTCCTTCCTCACTCCGGCTCCGGCTCGGAATGTTGCTCATGATGCGGTCCCTGTTGCGCCGGTTCAGGATGCCGCTCAAGAGGCAATCCCCAACAGTGCACAAGCATTGCCCTCAATGAAGCTTTTGCGTGCTTCAGGGGTTTTAACAGGCAACGACATGTTCCCGGATGACCTTCACCTGACCCTAGAAGTAAATGGAGAAAGCCTGTCAGTCTTGGGGTCGAGCAGGGTGCCTGAGCTCAAAGGGGGTTTCCGGAAAGTGTACCACCTTCGGGGTGAAGGGCCAGCTGCAAGCCTTGTTGTGAAGCTCGCTGAAAACGATGCTGACAACGTGAATGAGGTTAGGAGTGCTGCTGCGTGTCCGGCAGCCTTTACCCGCATCTTCGGCAGCGGCTCCATTTGGGTGTCCCTTGGAGCAGACGGTTTGTGCCGGGCCCATTATGTCATCACGGAACGCGTGGTCCCGTTGACTGCTTTGTTGGATGGCCCAACCCTGCCCCCTACGGCGTGCACCTCTTTGGCACTTCAATGTTGTCGGGTTGTGTTCCGGGCAACTCTTGCAGGTATCAAGTGTAGGGACCTTGGACAGAAGCAGTGGGGCCTCAAGGTCCCGCCAAACTTCAAATTCCCGACTCCCTGCACCAAGTGCGCGAAGGCTTAACAGGTGAAGCGTTTCACCTCGTCATCCTTGACGCCAATTGTTGCCTTCCAGTGCCCCAGGCGAGCCTCTTGGGGCCACGCAGAATGGCCTCATTTTGGGCCCTTCAAACAAGGTTGGTGGGTGCACCCGCTAGCGAGCGACTCCAAGCGTTTATCCGCGCTCATAATTTCAATGCCCGCAGTTGTCTTTCCGCTTTGACGCGTGATCACGTTACGGGGCTTTGCTCTTGAGCCGGCTTAGGTGCAACTGTGTTTTGCGCTTTCTGCGCCCCCGGATTCGTTCGGCGCCAAGGCACTTGTCTGGATGCGGTGCAAAGACTGCCTAGCGATGAGGATGCAGTTCGTAATGTCGGAAAAAGGGAAATGAGTGGGCGCTCACATATGTGTTTGCGCATGTTTATGATGTCATGAGACGAGCAAATGTCTGCTCAGCCAAGGGGCTATGTGGGTCTCATGAAGCGGCACATGGTGCCTTTGTATGAGCCAAGGGGCTGTCATACAACATGGCCATGGTGCCATATGTCCGTTGCACCATGGGTGCTCGTGCAAGGATGAAGGCTCAAAGCCATGTTCATGGACTCATGTATCATGTTAGGACTTTGCTTTGCTTTGCCTTTGGCTTTTCCCGCCATGTGAGTTCGTGTTGTTTAGTGCCATGTGGTCTGCAGACAATGCCTGAAGTGGTTTAGGGTAGCAGTGCGTGCCATGTCTGACGCACCTGAGGTGACATATGGCATCTTGACCGACGTCTTCGATATCCACCCAGACGCCCTGCTTGTGCGGGCAATATCTTGGGCCATCGGCCAAGCATTCCAAATTACCTGCTATTCATGCAACACAAGTGGCGTGCGCCCTTGGAGCCCAGGCAAGTCTCCAGGCTGTCGTCCACCGGACACCATCCACGCCTTGCGCAACTATGCCGGTGGTCCGCATGGCGCACCAAAACCGAGACGCAAGGCCCTCTGCCTGTATGCAGGCCAAATCCACGAGGTGGTCATGCCTGGTCGTTGCGTCCATGGCCTCTAAGCCAATTGCCCACACTTTCACGTGGAACACCCTCGTTCAGTCTCCAGAGGCATCCCTGGACAATGTTCGCCTCCATGCCAATGGGCATACCCATAAGTTCTGGGGTCGCTTACGACGTTTCCTTCGACCTTCACTCAGCTGTTCTGCCGGTCGCAAACCTTGCACTGTGGAGGGTTTGGCTGCAGCCTCTCCCTCAAGGTGAGCCATTCCACTTGGCATACTGTGTGCGCTTGCCCAGCTCCTCGTTGTCAGCTGCGAGAGTCTTCCTCCCTAAAACCTGATGTGGTCCAAGTGACTGTTGGACTTTCCCTAAGCGCTCCGGTCTCGTTATCCACCGACCTGGGCTTCTGGGTGGGAGCTGCGCGTGGTCAAGCTGCGCGTGTCGGCGTGTCATACTGGTTGTGTCGACTGCTACGGGCCTGTTCCACCGTCCGGCACGATCTTGCCAGGCGGGCTCCTTGTGGGCTATGCCGCTATGCATGTTTGCCCCGAGTGGCCATGCCCATGCTAGGTAACAACACACTGCAAAACAAAATTCCTCCTGCCGCAGAGGGTATGTGGCCTTGAGGCCTCGCCAGCGGCTCGGTTCATTGAGTGTTCGATACTCACATGATCCGGTGCGCGGCCTGAGCACGATGCGTCTTCATTGGACCAGCTCTGTCACGTCTCATCGTCCCGGTCTCGATGTTGGTCAGGCCCGGCCTGCAACGGTTGTGCTGTGGGTGCTGCGCGTGCGCCATGGATCGAACTAAAAATTATGGTCTGCTTCACGTCTACACGTTGCTACGTTTACAATGAGTCATGCGTGGCCCTTTTCCCTGCCATGTCTCTAGGGCCGGGCCGACGTCGTCGTGTCCTCCACCGACACCATTCTCGGACAGCATCTGCCTCCTGCCCCCACCTTGTTCGGTGTGCAGGAGTCCATTATACAGGGGGCAATGCGTTGCGCGAGCCCGTTCACTTCCAGTGCACTGTCGGCCTCCCGCCCTGACCCATGTTTCCAGCTGTCTACTGCTGTCCAACGTAGCCAGCCGGCCTCGCGCGGCAGCCGGCCTGTGCGGCAGCCGGCCTGTGCTCTATTTCGGTTATGTGGGGTGATGTCTGGGGTGATGTCTGGTTTTTAGTGGTTTCTGGCTGCTTCAGTGTGCCTGTTTGGGATGCCTGAGGGGTTAGCCGATGTTTGTCCGGTTTGTGTTCGCAGGGTTCCCTTGCCTTCTGGGTGCCCGAAAATCTAAGCCTGTTGTGCCTGGCTAGTGCTCCCCGGTCCTCCGGACCTGACACACGGCTTGCGCGTCGGGAGTATTGTTTGGTTTTTAGACGGTTCTACTTGTCGTTATGGGCGCCCGACCTTTGAACCTGTGGTGCCTGGGCAGTATCGGCCGGATCCACTGACTGTCTCATTGCAGGCTCGTCCCGAGCACGTCACAGGTTGGCCCGCTGGGTCTAGTGGGTCTGACGCTTGACATGCTCTCCCTGACCCTTTAACATGCGATTGGAGCTGTTGATTTGTGATAGGCGCTGCCAAGGCTGCCAGTTCAAATGCCTGAATTAATTTCAGCTTGAACGCCCATCGCCCCTCTATTGCTCTTTTCCAATGGATGCTTGGAGAGCTGGGTGCCGAGAGCACAACCCTGAAAGCGCTGATGTGTGCTGTGCCGCTACGCGGCACATTTGGGGGCTAAGTGCACTGTGCCATAAGCCTTGGTATGCTGTTGCCAGGAGTAATATTGTGTGGGTTGTGCTCGTGCCCGTGACGGGGCAACAGAATCTTACTTAGTGCTTTGTGTCTGGGGTTGCCAATTTCCGGCGTGAACTTCTGTGGGTCGTGCTCCGCCCCAGAGATTGCTGCTTTCCACCGCTTGTGACGGTCATGTCGGTCTCCCTCAAGGGTTCTGTCTTGAGTCCAATGCAACAAGCCTCCCGTGCGCCCGGGGAGGACGGAGAGCTTGAGCGGTCAGCCTAGGACTGAGCCAACTAAGTGTCCATTCCCCTCATTGCGTCATCTCCCTGTGGCGTGTGAGATTGAGCTGAATAGTACGGTTGGCTCGCTCCCCTTCCCCTTGTGTTGGGTTGAGAACCTCCGTGCTGGAGGCCTACTGTGCGATCGAAGGGGCTTGCGAACCGATGCCTTTCAGCTGGGGAACCCGCCTTGCCGGGGTGATGTCTGATTTCTCCACTTGCCAGGACAACTCCCTTTAGGATTGGTCCCTGGGCCGGCGCAAACACTCTCTGGGTCCTGTGACCCCCCCCGCATGCAGGCTGAGTTAACCTGTGTGGTGCGGACAGAGATGCCGGCGGCCTAAGTACCTCCGGAGCACCCGGTGGCGGCCCGGGATCGAGACACGTGTTCACTTATGTAAGGGTTACCCGGGTCCTAATTTCTAAATTGGCACATTTGGACTCGTCATACAAAGAGGTGCGGTGTGGCCCGCTTGTTCCGTGATGTGCGGGTTGGGCAGCACCTGCGTACTCTGTTTGTACACGCTTTCAACAGTACTGGGCTGCCCTGGGGTTTGAGCCTCGGGGATGAGGGGATGCCCTCTGTGGGTACTCCAGGCTTGTTCTTGGTGGTTTCTTGGTTTAGTTAACGTTGGTCTGTCTTGGTCCTTATGCAGCAAGCCCCCCCCCCCTTTTTGTGTACCGCACACTGTTGTGGGGCATCCAAATGAATGAAGAGGTGCATGGTTGCGATACCAATGCCCAGGGAAGGGGGGGGGGGAGGGGAGGGTACTGCAGCGACCCCCCCCGCAGCTCAACACCGAATGACTGACAGCTACCAGCTTTGACCTGCGTGGTGAAGTCTGTGTGCACTGCGTTGGCACAATCTTAAGGTCAAACCCGTAGGGAGGTCTTCCCCTCCCGGTGTTCGCAAGGCTGCGCCTTCAGCCTAGTGCTCCCGCTCCATGTGGGCAAATGCCTTGTGGGTGAGATAGTGTGGACTGCCTCGGGAAGTGGTGACTGCCACTCGGGGCGGGTCAACTCTAGAGGCTGTGCTCTAAGCTGTCTTACGTTTGATGGCAACCATCTAGGTTCTTCGGTTAATTGGGGGCTTGTTGTTTTGTTGTTGGTGTTGCGCACGTTTTGGCAAGAGTGTGCACTGACACAATGTGCATAGTACTGTCCATGAGGCTCTTTGATTCGCCCACCGATTGAAAAGGAGGAGTGCTTGGGACTGTCGTTGATTTTGGGCTGCGTGCTTTGTCCTAGGTTTCGGGCGATGCTTTTGGGTTCAAACCAATTTTGGCACAAGCGATAAGCTTACTGTTCGCGAGCGAATTGTGTTTTATCGCTTGCTTCCAAAAATGCCCTGTGAGAAACGGTGTGCCGTTTACTCTCTGTTTGAAGCCAAAAGTTTTCTTGATGCGTTTTGATTCCCATGCTCCACAATTGCCAGTTGCATGTTTTGCAAATTCCTTGATCAGCAGTTTACAGGGTTGCAGTGGCTGTATGCAGCTTGTGCATTGCGCCTGGGTGTGCAACATGCCATGCTTTGTGTAGCTAAAGGGCGGCTGATACTTGCACTTGATGCATGTTCCTTGTCGTGCAGCACGGGCTCCATCGGGCCGTGAAAATTTGTCCCACCCAGCCCACCCTGTGTATGCAGTTGCGGGGCCCGCGCTCCGTCGCCGCGAGCCCCTGTGTACATCGGCCAGCAGCCGTTGCCTTGCCGCCCGGCCATCTCGGTCGGCTTCATGCCCTAACTCCCACCCTCCCCTGCCCGAAGCAAGCCTGTTGCCTACAGCAACTCCCGGCTACCTTCCAGCCATTGCCTGTTGCCTCTGGCAACTTGCTGTACTTG